GGAGGGCGGCAGGCGGGGCCCAGGTGCGCCCGGCCCGTGACCGCTCGGGGGGCGGCGCCCTCCCGCCGCAGCCGCAGCGGCCGGCTCCGCAGCGAGGAGCCATGGGCAACATCTCCTCCAACATCTCGGCCTTCCAGTCCCTGCACATCGTCATGCTGGGCTTGGACTCGGCCGGCAAGACCACGGTGCTCTACCGGCTCAAGTTCAACGAGTTCGTGAACACGGTGCCCACCATCGGCTTCAACACGGAGAAGATCAGGCTGAGCAACGGCACGGCCAAGGGCATCAGCTGCCACTTCTGGGACGTGGGCGGCCAGGAGAAGCTGCGGCCGCTGTGGAAGTCCTATAGCCGCTGCACGGACGGCATCATCTACGTGGTGGACTCGGTGGACGTGGACCGGCTGGAGGAGGCCAAGACCGAGCTGCACAAGGTGACCAAGTTCGCCGAGAACCAGGGCACGCCGCTGCTGGTCATCGCCAACAAGCAGGACCTGCCCAAGTCGCTGCCGGTGGCGGAGATCGAGAAGCAGCTGGCGCTGCACGAGCTCATCCCGGCCACCACCTACCACGTCCAGCCGGCGTGCGCCATCATCGGCGAGGGCCTCACCGAGGGCATGGACAAGCTCTATGAGATGATCCTGAAACGCAGGAAGTCCCTCAAGCAGAAGAAGAAGCGGTAATGCGCCCGGCGGCGAGCGGGGCGGCGAGCGAGTAAGTCGGGAGTGAATGAATGGATGAGGGGATGGAGGCGAGAGAGCCCGCGCCCGCGAACAAAGGCAGCGAACCAAAGCGATGCTTCGAATTTCTAAATCGGAACCCCTGCACCCAAAGGCAGCGCCAGTGACTTAACCTGGGTGTGTAGGCTGACTTGCCAGCCTGCCTTCGACCTGCCCCCACCCCACCCCACCCCCACCCGGCTCAGGGGACCTTTTGTCTAAACGCCAGAGCCCCCTGATGGGGGTGGGAGGCCGCCCTGGGGAGTGGACGTGCAGGGGCTGCCTTCCGCCCTCCAGGCCCGGGTGGAAGGCTCAGATGTCAGAGACAAAAGCGATTTCTTCCTCCTCCAGCAGGGCCAGAAGTTCAGGCTGCCCCGCCCTCACCTGTGTGTTACCTGAGGTATGCAGCTCCCAGAATGCTGGGAGTCTCCTTCGGGGGGGCATGTCGGCAGTGGGAGGTGCTGGGGCAAAAGCCACTGCTTACTGCATGGGCAGTGGAAGCTGGATGATTTATGGCACAGGGCAGGCCCCTGTTGAAATTTCATTTGTCCTGCTCTGGGCCCAAACGAGGTGGTGGCTTGGGCCATCAGAGGACCGCCTGGAACAATACGCAGCTCCAGGACATGGGGCCCTGCCACGGCCTTGCCTGGGGAATGGCCGCGAAGATGCCCCTTTCTTGGTGCTTTGTGGTGGTTACGGAAGACCAGTTTTGTTGAGAACTGCTTTTCAGCCTGGAATCAGACATCTTCCAGATGGTTTGGACCCTGTCCATGTGTAGGTCATTATCACACAAAGAGACCAATAAAATTAAAAAAAAAAAAAAAACTGTTGGAGGTGGTGGCAAATGATACATTTACTGTTTGCAGGATAGTTAAAGGTGTTTAAGGGTAAAGCTCTGGATGTGTGTGTGTGTGGACACGGGGACCTCCCTCTGTACTGTGTAATCGGCATAAATACCTAGACCCATATGCGTAGAATCTTAAATTCTCTTAGCCTACTGATTGGTTTGTGTGAGCACACCAGCTGCAGATGTGTGCTGAATTGCAAGATGGTTTTTGCAAAGGATGTCTCGATAATAACCACTTGATGATGGGTTTTGGTTTTCAGACATGTTTTAAAAAAAAAAACTACAAATGAATACTCACCTTCCATAAGAAAGAAGACTTTGCTCTGCCCTTTTATATCCTTTTACGCTGCAAGTGGCAACATGTTCAAATTTCTAATTGGGTTCACTGTGGCCTATCTGGTTTAAGCATTTCATTAAAAATGTCTCATTAGCGTATTTGATGTCATACACCAAAAAATAAAACCCCACCTTATTGCAAAAGCTGACCTTGTTGCATGGATTTGAAAGCGGAGGGAAAGCACCAGGATGAGGACCTTCCTCATTCATTCCTGTGGGAACTGGCCTGCGTGGCAAATGCAAACCCCGGTGAGTGCCTGGGATAAAAGCAAGCGGTGAGTGCCTGGGATAAAAGCAATCAGGCACTTCACGATGTACTTGAAAGAGGCTTTGGGAAATAAAAGAATAAATACATATTTTTAATAATGTAATTTAAAAGAAAAAAGTTCTTTATAATCAGGACGGAGTCTTGGTTTTGCAGAAGCTGTCATTTACCCCGAAACCCAGTATCAAAAGGGAAACTTAAACTTACTGTATGGTTTTTTTATTTCCTCTTTGAATCCATGTTTACAGGTAGAGTTATGTTTTCCCCGCCCCCACTGTTATAAATTAATTCACAAAGGAGGCCTATAGAAATTGGGCATCATGCTTGAGCACGTGAGTGAGTCAGATTACAAATCCATGCCTATTGTCCCCTGCACTCAGAAAGTTAATTTAAGAACCAGAGGTAGAATGCCTGGCTTCCTGCTTGAAACCCAATTCTTCTCTGAGATATTTTGAAAGAAGGAACCTCGCAGCCCATTTTCCTTTTCTCTTTTGTCGGTGTATTTGGTACCCTCCAATGCTGGTCTTTTTGTAGAAACGCAGTAGAGAAAATATAGCTAAGCAATGTTGAAAAGCCTGCAAGATTTCAGTTTATGTATCGACAGCATATTCACTGATTTTTAAATGGGCTGGTCCCATCAGCTGAAGATTCTGTATAGAATTATTAAAAAAAAAATCCATCTTCTTTATTTTCTTCACATGCGACAATTTCTTAAGCACTTTGACATTTTGGTAGTTCCACACTATTGAGAGAATAATATATTTATTTTGTGACATTGCAGATGCCAAACACTGTAACCTTCTCGTGCTAACAATTCTTAGGTTGAAGATCACTGTTCAAATTTTACCATGCTTTAACAAATGATGCGAAATGATTTTTGTTTTTGTTTTTGGTTTTTTTGCATTATCAATACTTAAAGGGTACAGTCAGCTGTTAGTAACTGTGCAGTAAAGTAAAACCCTGTGGTGTCCCAACTAATAGTTAAAGAGTCTCAGTTGATTTCTGTAAGATTTGACCTAGTAAAAGCCCATTTTTGTCTCTCACCAAACAGAGGAGGCACAGGTCACGTCACCTTGGAGCGGTCAGCCTGGAGCCGCCATCCAGGGAGTCCCCTCCAAGGGAGCAGTTAGCGATTTATGATGCCTCCTGCCCCTGGGAGAATGAATGGGTGTCACCTAGAGGAAGTGGCCTCCCCACGTGAACTTCGGAAGTGTTTTCTCACAGACACAGGGAGGCCAGCTTTGTTTTAGAACAGTTCTCTTCACACATTCTCTGTCATGGTGTTGGGACTATGTCTCCTGGTTTTGGTTTTCGTTTCTCCTGCTGTAATTCTCTGCCCTGGTCACCCTCCTTCTGTTCCCGCCCCCTTTTATATGCATATATGATGCTGTGAACAGAAATAAATTATTTATACAATCAAACATTTGGGGAAATCGTCTGTGGATGCTTTCTGCTCCTGTTTATTCTCTAGGCCTCCTTAGCTGAGTGGAGGGACGGGTCACAGGTGAACTCCAGGGCTGGGTCAATTGTCCCTGCTTTTTTGGTTTCAGTGCCCGCTGCGCCCTGACTGGTGGATTTAGAGATGCTTGGCCGCCTCGGGGACCTGTCCGTGGCCCTCACAAGTCCTTCAGGAAAACGGCCTCAGTGCCCAGCCCACCCCCAGCCTCTCGGTTATTAAAAATATCATAATAGTTAATTATTTCAAAAATATTATCTGATTGTGTGAAGTTGGGAATACCTAGGTCCTCGTGTAACACCATTCGTAATCACAAAACTGCTCAGGGGCCCGGCCTCACTGCTGACATCGGGGTTGAGTTCCATTCTTGAACCCATCAAAAGGACGCCACGACTTGAGCCCTCTTAAGTAGTAGGGGTGGTAAGACCATCATGCTCGACGCAGGCCCCTAGGAAAAGGTCTGCTTTCTAACGAAAAAGCAATTGGCTGAGAAGCTACAGAACCTCCAACGGGTTCAATGCATAGCTCACGGCAGCTCTCAAGCAACAAAACTAAGTTGTGGTCGGGTCTCAACTCTGGAGCCAAAAAGACCCCGTTTTAAATTCTGACTCCACTGCTCAGGGCCCCCATGATTTTGCTGAAACCTCGAGCCTCACTTTCCCCACATATAAAATGGGATCGTGATGGCTGTTGGGAGGATGAAACGGAACAGGAAGTACCTGTCACATACCCGGTGCAGGGCAAGTCCTCAGTAGCTTTTAGCTTGACTCTACACCCAGGGCAAAGTAGAGTGAAACAGCTATAGCACCTGGTCATCCTGGGCGGTCTTCTCATCCCGAACTGTGAGAGGCTGAGTTAGAGCTCAGCCGAGGTCTCCAGGCTCGAATCCGTTACTCCTCCTACAGTCCATCTCACTACGCTGTGAGCCTCTGCGTGGTAAGACCTCTGATAGCTGATGCCTAACCTAACATTGCACTCATAGTACGTGCTCAATAAATATTGGTTGAATGATTTAATTCATGTTGATTCATTTGGGTTGTAAACTTGCACATGGACGTGATACAAAATTCAATGATCATTTCCCATTAAGCCTTTTCATTAAGATGAAAATCCACACAAAAAAACCATCATTTTTCAAGATCACTATTGTGAGATGAGCCACAGCAATGACTTTGTAGAAAGATGTTGAAACTTACACATTAGTAACATATTTATAAGCTGAGTGATGTCTGCCTAAAAATGAGCAAGACTTCACATATATGTCATTCATGTTGTTGCAGAAGCTAACGTTGAAGCCAGATGACATGAAAAGGGCTCAGATGTCATTTCTAAGTACTGAAACCTGAAAAATGTTTGAAAAACCATTTAGAAAAACCATTGCAGCTCCATAAGGGTGAAAATACTAGAAATCAAAAGCGAAGATTGAAACTGTTGTTTTGGTGCAACCTTAATTTAACGTTGATTTAACAATTCAATCCTTGAGGATCCAGGTGACACTTGCTGTTTGGACAATATTGTCCATTTTATGTTTTCCAGGAAAGTAACCACAAATGGCCCCATCGCTCTGACCTCTGACAACTGAGGAGGCTAATTTTAGTCCTACGCAGCTGCTGTGTTTTCCCCCAATCTGAGCTTCTCCCCACACGGAGGTTTTAGTTCTTCATTTGTAAATTTCTGCACTAAACGGTGAGCGTCTTGCTTTCCTGTTTTGGGCCTCCCCTTTTGTCTCCAGAGCTTATGCTCTTGGAACAATTCTGTGACCAACATCATGGTCTGTTTTGATGTCACATTCGTGTGGCACCAAGAAGGACAGATTATGTGCCAAGAGCAAGAAGATAAATGGGCTGAGATGACGAAAGGAGAGAGGAGAGAACACACCAGAACCGGATCCTCCGTGATTTCACAGCTCTCACCTGTCCAGCTAACCTCCCGCTTCCCTCCTCTGCACCCACACAAAATGCCCACGATTGGGCATTTGCCTTCCAGGAACCAAATTCGCCATCTCAGTTGCTACGAAGGCATTTCTGTTCTCTCCTGAAACTTATGCTTTATCCATGTTCACTGATCCTTAAAACAGCCCCTTCCCGCCTCTTCCTGGCTCAGTTGAAACCTGTTTCAGATAGAATTTGCACAAGACGCTGGAGTACTTTATATATATATTTTTTGCACAAACACTGATCAAAAATGGGGCTGCTTCAGTTTCAGAGAGGAAATTGCAAACTGAGAAGGTGGCATATTGTTTCTTCACCAGGGTTAGAAGTGAGAATGAAAGAGCTGTGTGGTTTAACCCCGCCTAAGTTTTCAGAACATGAGATGGCTTTCTTTGAATGGTCTGACCTCATATGCCCCTCTGGGCCTTAACTTCTCCTAATGACAGCATTACAGTGAGCACATTCTTAACTGTGTGACAGCACGGCATGAGAGAAATAACCAAAATGATTTTTAAAGTTGTTTCCTGTAGCATGGGTTTGAGAGGGCAAGCATCTTTTCTGCATGCACTAATTAAAATTAACTTAATAATGTTAAGTATGTGTTTTTATTCTGACTTAGTCCCATATAATTATGAATACTAGCCATTGCTAACCTTTGTTGAGGGCTTAATATGTGCTAGGCGCCATGCTAAGCGCTTTACCTGCTTTATCCCTTTTCCTACCAAGAGCCCCAAGAGATCAATTCATGAATCAAATAAATCAATCCATCAATGTATCTGCACTTGCAGAGGAGGAGATTGAGGTCAAGAGAAGATTAGATCACCTCCTCTGAAGTCAGTCCCCTTTTAGGGTGGAGCCCAGGTGAAGCCCCAGGTCCCTGAGACTCAAATGCTGAGCTCTGGGTGGTGCCCCCGGCTCCCTCATGGAGAGGGAAACCCTGCAGGTGACGGAAGCTGGGAGGTGGAGGCTTGTGTTCCTGGGGGGCAGCGCCCCCCTCCTGACAGGGAGGGCCCCCTTTTCCCCCCCCCCCCCCGTCCCGAGAACTCACAATCAACCCCCCCGACACGCCTGACCCCAAGCTCCAGGCCTTGCTTTCCCATCTTAGAGAACACATCCCCGTGTCTAGGAAAACCCAGTCCCTTTGGATCAGGTTCTGCCCTCAAAGCATTTGATTTTTGATATTCTTTTGAAGAGACCGTGTGTGTTAGAGCGATGCCTTCCTGGGTCATCCAAGGCATTTAGACCCCAGCAGGTGGCATTGGGAAAGTGTCAGCAGGCCTGAACAGGGGTGCAATCTTGACAGAGTCATCTTACCTCTCGCAGCCTAGACCCCTGAACTCCACAGTGATGCTGAGAATCCCTGCCCTGCCCACCCTTCACGGTGATTCTAAAGATAAAATGAGATAACAGATGGGAAAGTCTGTGCACCCAGCCAGGCAGGTCTAGATGCACGTAAAGGTTGTGTATCATGCTTAGACAGTGGACCTTCTCTCTGCGATGTCAGCTTTTGGAGGTAGGGATGTTCTGCTTCTCATCTCATTATAGACAAGCTCACTGTCCCCCGTATTGCCTCCAACTCAGGAAGAGTAAACCAAAGGAGGGGACCACCTGTCCCCATGCGACTCTGTGGAGGACCTAGAACCCAGTGGACGTTTCCACTAAGTGACTGTTGGGAAAAATAAGCCTTCTTACTTCTGTTGTTTGCAGAATTCTCATTCTTTTAATAGCGAACTCATGGTTGCTTTCATTTCCTGAAACTCTAACTCCCTGGACAATTAATTTTGACTGCCCATGTCTCATAAACGCTGAAAGAGTTTCAACGTATGATTTAAAAGTCATCGTGGTAAGGAATGACAATTGCAACAGCTTATTTCACAAATATGTGTTTGAATCCATTATTACATAGGCGACATTTTGCATTGCTATGCAGGTTGAATTGTGCTGGGGTGCCATTTTCATCATGCAAAAAAAAAAATGCTGTTAAAAACATTACCCACAAACAGTTGTGACACCCATTGTACCAGGGACAATCCACTAGGCAGAGGTGTCAGGAAGACATAGGACACGGTTCTTGTTCTCAGAGGGCTGATATTTTAGCTGCTGAATCAGGGCTAAACCATCAAGTGATGTGCTCTACACCAGTGCGAAACGTCACTCAGTGTCACCCAAGAGAAAGTCGTTAATTCAGCCAAGTTCACATTTTCCATAACACACTAACCTTGAGGTAAAACTAGAGTAAAACCATATTACTCTGTGTCCTGGTGTGTGCAATTTGAAGACCTCTAGCCCTCCCCCGATATCTAGCTCCGGCCCTTTCTGAGAATGCCTTTTTTGGAGGGGGAGGGGGAGGGAGAGGTTTCACTCTGCTAATGTCCACTGCCTCATCCATTTTCTCCATTCTTACCGTGACCACTTGTGCAGGTGTCTGTTTCGTGGTCTTTCTGGAAGCTAGGATCATCACGGTGGCCCAAACTGCTGGCCCCTAATACTACTGACCCTACTTGTGTCACCACCGTTCTCACTGTCCAACAGATATTTCAGTGGCAATGGTTCCTTACCATCTACGCCCACGTGTAAGGGACTCAGACGTCTGAGAGCCTAAGGACTATCTGAGTGGCTGAGCTTGTACCATCTCAGAATCCCCTTTGTATCTGACACTTTCGTTTTGAGCCTCTCTTAGGTGCCTCAGCCCCCAAGTCCCCTCCCAGGAGACATCTCAACTGGTTAGAAGTCCCAAGATGAATATGAATCCTCGTGTAGACCCCCATGAACCTAAAAGGGGGTGCGTGATCTGTCTCGGAATCAGCTTGCTCCCATAGTTAGGAATTTTCTACATTAGTATTGTAACTGACCACCTGTCCCTGAAAGTCACTCTGTGCTTTATTTCTGCTTCCTGCCTCTTTGAGTAGGTAATTGGGGTGATGGTTTTAAGGGTTGAAGAGTTTGATTTGGGCTAAGGCCTTCTGAAGCAGACACTATGAGTAATCCACACAAATCCAGGCCTCTGCCATCTTTTTTGCTGGCAGAACCCCAA